AAAAAAAAAAAAAACAATTTGAGTAAAGAACCCTGTAAAATTATGGTTGCCATAGAAACGTAGCTCGACAAAATTATTGTCACACCTAAACATTTTCTGATAATTCTTAGAAACAATAAAAAAGTTAGACCATCCTAGCCCAAACGTTGTTTTTGCCTCCATTTCCATCCTCCCCCTCTCCCATGGTCAACAGTAATAACAGTCTGCATTTTACCTTCAGTCTCCATTTTATCTCCGGTTTCCATTCTGCAGTCCGCAGTTTGCGTTTTGCACTGACCAGCTGTAAAACCGGTCATTTGTAAAACGCAGACTGCGAACGACAGACTACAGACTGCGGATCTGGGGTAAAATGCAGACTGAAGGTAAAATGCACACAGCGGACTATAAACTTTTTAACTGAATCGTCTCACCATTTGCATCATTGAGAGCTAACAGTAAACAGCCTAGCCGGGGCGTTATTCAGGCTAACCTAAACGACATTCAGGCTAACCGGAGTGCGGACTTTCATAACGATTAGCCTGAATAACCTTGTTTACCGTTATCACTCGGTAATTGAAAAAACATGATATATGCTTACACCCGCTGTCAGTGTTACGTGCATAGGCGACATCTTTCGACCATCATTCGACATGCCATCTCTCGACATGCTATGTAAACAGCTGAAAGAGCGATTAACTGTAAAACTGTCGATTTTTCTCGTTATTAGCGGAAGAAATGACAAATAAATGATAATTACTGACCTCAAATGGCTGAGGAAGATTGTGGAGTTTGCATGTTTTCCGATTACGGGATAAATCAAACGATTTGAGAGTAATCGATCGGCTCTCGATAATGCATTTCCGGTAGAACTAGGCCGCTACCGCTTTCAATATTCGAAAGATGTACACATACTGTTTACATCCAAAACAGTCTATTGATCTCTCACAGAATGACTTCTTCATACCCCTAGCCTTACTTATGTCAAACCGTCTTTCACGAATAAAAGTCGAGTTCGACAGTAAAGAAGCCCGTCGTGAGTACATTTTTGACGTAGGCCAAGTTAGATAGCATTTCAAAAGATGTCGCCTAAGCACGTAGCACTGAAAGCGGGTGTAATAAGTCTGTAGTCTGAATTTTACCCTTGCTATGCAGTCTGCATTTTAACCTCAGTCAGCATTTTACCCCCGATATGCAGTCTGCAGTTGTGTATTACACTGACCGCTGTGAAACAGTTCTAATTGAGTTATAGGTTGAAAATCGAGGTGCTTTTTTTTATCCTCCTATGAACACGAATTTGGCCTCCCAAAAAATTCTTCAGGGGCGAATGACGTCATCTCCATGTTCGTCCATGTGGTTTCTTTCCAGTGCCGTGCAAGTTTGCGGACTTTCGAGTGTCGAGGCAGCTTATTGTGGGCTGTAGCGGATAAGTTGTTTATTTAAAGTATTTTGAAGCATTTTTCAAAAAAACCTTGCAGACCTGTCTTCGCAAAATGTGTACGACTTTTCGTACGAACAGAAAGCGGCAGTTTCGCTGCGCTTTGTGTACCCTGTTCTCTTCGATCAAAACCAACTCTGCTTTCTGCTGAATAAAACAAAGGAGGAAATGTGTAGTTTCACTTCGCTGGCCTAGATTTCTGTGCGCAAAATATGTAACATAAACCCAAGGAAAGTGTTAGAAAGGAAAAAGAGTTTAACTCCCACAGGATTACTTTGGTACACCAACATGTCCGCCATTTCATTGTTTCGGAAGTGAAAATGCTCAATACCTGTTCCCCCAAAGCGAAGGCGATCCAAACTCTTGTTCGTAAAAGAATAATTGTCCTAGTTTTGGTGATAAAAGCACGTCGTCTCGAATACCGACGGAACAGGCAACGTTTATGTCAATTTGCACGGTCCAGAATGGCAGGGTCCCGGTCGGTATAAAACACAGACTGCGCACTGGGGACTGCGGACTACGGACTGGGTATAAAACACGGATTGAGGCATAAAACGAGGACTAAGCATAAACAACTGGGTATAAAACACGGACTTAGATGTAAAACGCGGACTGCGGGCTAAATGCGACCTGCCGACTGCAGTCCGTGTTTTATACTGACCGGTCGTAACTAATATTACGTAATACATGTGTAAACGAAAACAAACCCTCTCGCATGCACGTGCTTTGCGATCAATTCATTTGTTTTCGCCTCTGCTGGGGAGAGGCCAATTTCACGTCCATCTAACGGCTCAGGGACAAAATGCTGTTTCTAGAATTTCTGCTTTTTTAACATACCAAACCCACCAATACTCGAATGCACTCTTTAATCTACGATTACCACTAGTCACAAATATTAATAGTCGACGCCAAGACAGAGATTTGATGTTTTAAAGACAACTATGCCTCCTCGATGCTATAATTTTCGTCGAAGACGCTGCCATTAGATCAAGATTTTCAATAGCTAAAGTCAGATTGAATTTATATGTCTTTATAATATGACTTCTATACATTTACAATTCCTTGAGTACAACATGTAACACTTGACAGTCTCCCAATTCTACTCACCAATATACCAGCCCAAATCCCGAAATAAGCAACACTCGTCCAAAAATCGACCACAACCTGCTCTGCGATACCGAAACAGAAGAGCAGGAAGCCGACAATGAGATGTGCGATGGCAAGATTCCTTAGCTTAGTCACTTTCGCTAAATTGTCCGCCATGTTTATATATTTTGCTGATGTCATTGTTTATATTTGTGTTCATTAACATAAGACTTTCCGGAGAGAAGGCATCACGCTAGATGCAAATTGACTCCAAATTAAAGCACTTGTGAAATTTACGATTAAATGAAGGTTTTTTTACCCTTTGGGTGTAATTTTCAACGAGAAATTGAACTTCAAAATCTGTAAAACTACTGGCTAATGAATTCATACATAATTTGTAAAATTTTAAGTTTTTAAACCAGCGAAAGAACCACGATATACATTGGGTTCAAATTTCTGAGGACAGCTAATCGTGTTATGCCCTTGTATTCCCAACAGATACGTGTATTTTTGTAGCTTGACTCAAACTGCTTCACTTTATGCCAAGGAGACAAATATTGCAAACAAGATGTTTCTCTAGTGTTTCAATCCGGAAATACGTGGGTCATATCATGAATACGTGCGTCATATATCCACCACAAATTAGCATCACACTGTAGACTGATCAACGCCAAGCCAACTATTATGACAGACTGTATGCAAAACTTTTAGAGCTTCTAAGCAAAACCCGCAAATTTCTGGCGGCGTTCTGTCACAATTCTACCGTGTCACAATCTAAGTGACTTCCTACCCGTCATAGCCTGTGTATATTCAGTAACAAATACAAACTTAGCGCTATATGGCTTATACGTAACAAAGAAGTGAAAGCAGTGAATTTCTTTGCGATTACAGAGAAGACCACTCATTTTGTAGTGACACCTCATGTAACCACAGCGAGGATACCCCAGAAGTAGCATTTGCCTATTTTCCTTTGGAATGAAACACAGAATATAACACTTGTAAATCAAAATTCTCCTCCATTTGACTGTTCTGCTGGAAAATTTGTAAGTTTTTCTTTTTTTTTTTTTCTTTTTCATTCTTTCATGAGGGTGGGGAAGGGGTGGTTTCCTCTTTGGACCCCCTTGTGTGTCTACAAATCTATTCGCGAAAAGTATTCAAAGTTACGTTGCATGCA